TTCCCAGCCCATCCTCAACACAAAACTCTTGATATACAGTAGCTTCTTTTTGTTGTTTTGTTTGTATAAAGACACGGAGAACAAAGAGCTGCTGAGCGATGAGCCCGTCTCACTGGGACATTGCCGGGGCAACCACACCAAGACTCTGACATGAAGGAGTCTTATTTCAGGTCCCTGGTGCCTCCAGCGTGGATGCCAGTGTGGGAATGCCAGAAATGTCTGTCCTTCCTCCCTCTCTTTTTAAACTCTCTGTCCAATAAAACAAACAAAAAAAGAAACAGCAGAGAAGAGCTGCAGTCAGAAAGAAACTGAGTGAGAGCTGAGAAGGCAGGAGGCGCCTCTTATCCCTGCGTCTGATTCTCCACCTGTCATGACTCTTAAGTTCTGCAAGGAGAGGTTCTGGTTGGAGCCGCCGACGGAGAAGCTGAGGAGGGAGCTGGAGGAGGAGCTGAGGCTGAGCGGCGCCGACCTGAGGAGCCACGCCTGGTACCACGGGCGCATCCCCTGGGAGGTTTGTTGCACTTTCATGAAAATAAACAGAAAAAAACGTTTTCTTAACAAACTTTAACAAAAAGTACCGAAAGACTTTTCTTTCACGGAGTTTTATTCTGTTTAAAGACAAACTCCTTTTGCATTTTGATTTTATTCTCATTTATTTTAATAATGACAGAATGCAAAATAAACCCTCAACGTTCAAAAAACTGCTTACTTTTTCACATGGCTGTATGTTAGTTATCAAGCAAACCACCTGTAAAAACCACAAACAGCTGGTGTAGAGTGGCGTTTTCACAGATTCTGAGGTGTTTCACCTCACAGCTTGAAAGAAAATGAGGAAATTACATCTTTATATGAAGCAGTGGAGGAAAACGTTCTGGTTTTTCCACCAGAAGTTTGAGAAACCCACAAAGTTTTGTCTTGCATTCAACGTTATCCTGGATTATAAACTTAATTAATTTTAAAGAATTTTTGTCTGACTGTTCTGACATCATGTGAATACAGATGCTGCGGTTTTAACACTCTGGTTTTCAGATTTAGAAAATAAAATGCATAAAAGAGGTTTTCTGCTCAGGAGGATGTTTGCTCAGTCGACCACCAGAGCCTCAACGTATAAAAGATCCATGATGTCAGAGATTCTGTCAATTCCTGCAGGGTTTTAACGCGTTTTTGTGGCTCAGACTAAAAGATTACAAAATAAACCCTCTGCATTTTAATTTTTAACGGTGGGAAAGTAAGTATGACTATTTATTTATTAATAAATTACACCATCATAGTATAATAAAATGTCATATTAGTTACATAAATTATTTCAAGGTCTTAAAATTAGGACTATTAACTTAAACTTGCTAAAACCACTTTTTTTAATTTCTTTTTTTCCTAGAACTAAAGAAGAAACACATTTTAGCAAAATAAAAAAAAAGTTTACATTATTGTGTAATTCAGCTGTTTGGCCACTAGAGGGAGTCCCTGTTTAAACCCAAGCATTTGTTGACTCATGCTGTTTAAATGAAGTCAAGAGTGGCAAATGTTTTAACAAATATAAATATTGACACCTTATATTATTATAAATCTGGAAAAATTACTTTTTTGTTTTCTGCCAAAATATTTGTAAAAATGTAAACATTGTTGATCCAAATATTCTGTCTTCGTTTAGTGTTTCGATGAGTAAATGTTTAACCATAAATTTAAAAAAGAGTTTTTATTTATATTGGATGAGCTTAAATTTGTGTGTTAGGGGACACTTTTCCTTTGCAGAGATTATCCATCCCCCCTCGCAGGTGGGGCATATCAAGATGCTGATTGGACAGCATGACTATTGCACAGGTGTGCCTTAGGTTGGCCGCAATGAAAGGACACTGAAATGTGCAGTCAGTTTAATTCAAGATGGCCACCACTGCAATTCTATAAATGGAGATAAAAATGAGCTAAACTCTGGTTTGGTATTAGTTGAGGGTCACTACTTTATTTTCTTTATCAGTTCTCAACATAAAGTTGTTACTTTGATCCTCTGTCATCAAAGGTAGCAGGTGATACGTATTGCTTTAAGAAAATTTAAGCCTTTAATGCAGGGGCAGAGCTAGACTTTTTTTTGCAAGGGGTGGCCACCGTGTTTTATTTTTTTGTTTGTTTTTACGGAGGGGGGCACATAGAAATAAAGAAAAGCACTCTGGATTTGAACATTTAAAACATCCGCCACAGCTAATTCCAAATAACTTTAATTCAGCTGTTTCAAGAAAAATCAGGCTGAAGGTTTGTGTGACAGTAGCCAAGAGCCAAGAAACAAGCTGATTGCTAGTCACAACTTATTGTTCTGCCATTTTCAATCATACAAAGCTGAAGATTTATGTGGAAGTAGGTAAAAACTATTTTTTTACCAAATTCTAAAGGCTAATAAAAAATTCAAGATGGCCACTTCAACTATCTTTAAAAGGTTATAATTCAGACATTTAGACTTGGAGATTAAATTTGTTGTGGAGCAGTTAAGAATGATCACATGCTGATTGCTAATTTTTATACAAAATCAAGATAACCACTAACGCTAATGCTAATTATACAAAGGGCTATAATTCAGACATTTTTAACTGTACACCGCTAAAAAGATTACTTAATATCAGAGAACAATCTGATGATATCTAAATGCAAATATAAAATACAAGAACCCCATCCACCTGTGTCCGTTATTTGGGGTGGCCTTTCATGTGCCAAATGGGGCCCTTGCCATCCCGGCCACCCCCATGGCTCCGCCCCTGCTTCATAGGCAGATTTATGAATTAACAGACGGACGGAAAAACCTAAAATTAATTGGAGCATTGTTGCACTTTAGCTCAGTAGCATTGCTGATTTATGTGTATTTATTTATTATTAAAAACTAAAAAGGATTAAATGTCTCTACAGGTGTCAGAGACTCTGGTTCTGAACCACGGTGAGTTCCTCATCAGGGACTCACAGTCCCGTCCGGGTGACTTTGTCCTCACCTGCCACTGGGAGCAGGAAACGCTTCACTTCCTCATCAGGAAGATGGTGGTTCACTCCGGCGAGACGTGCACCCGGGTCCGGTACGGCCTGGAGGGCGAGACCTTCGACTCCTTGCCAGCTCTGGTTCATTATTACGCAGGCGGCCGGGGGGCTCTGACCTGGAGCAGCGGAGCTCAAATTCACCGGCCGGTGAACAGGACGCTGCCCATCAGGTTCCTGGAGGAGACCTTCTGCACCGCCGTCAGCCCCCACCCCCACCAGAGGGGGCTGAAGACTGGAGGTGTGGAGGGAGGGGAGAGGGTCCGACCCAACAGGTAACACTTCACACCGGTTTAAATCACTTTTATTCACATTTAAAACACATTTTAGTTGAAAGCTACAAGGATTTTGTGGTTTTGACCTGTATTTATATGAACGCTGATTTCTGTCCTCGTGTCCCCAGTCCTTCATGTCTCCAACTCAAAAAGACAGAAGTTAAAGGTCAACCTGACAGTCCAAGTCTGATGATCAATGGAGTATCCTACACCTCATCTCCGAATGCCCACAGTGAGTTAAACCGACTCTCCTCTAAATACAAATATTTGTCTCTTTACCTTTTAAAAACAGGTGTCGTTTCAACTCATTATGCTGACAAAGCAAAACCACAGAGCTGATGCATTCTGACACATTTTATTTAAATACATTAAATACAATTCATTTAAATTTGTATCCTTCACAGATTCAAACAAGTTTCCATTAGTGCATGAATCATAGCACGAATTAAAACATATTGCAAATGTGCTCTTAAACATAGCAAATGTCCCAGAATTACAATCAAAGGAAGGTCAGAAATAACCATTTAAACACAAAGCACAGGTTCATTTAAATATATATTTAAACTTAATTTACCATATGAAATAGAAGAAAGGTAAGAAATCAGTTCTGATTTGTAAAACTGAAACAATAGATTCATATCAACCATTTTAAAATTTTCATCAAAATAAAAAAATTATGTAAATCAGTGTATTATTCCATTATAATAATATATTTCTATATTTTGCTTGAGTGTTTTTTGTAATGATAGATAGAATGGTGTGTTTTGCTTGTGTTGTATTTTAATTTAAGAAAATCCAAAAATAAACAACAAACCAGAAAAAAACAACAGAAAAGACTAGCCTGCAAATAGGATGAAGTTCAAATGTACATTTTTTTAAATAATGTTTTGTTTTGTAGTTATAAGCCATGTGCTCTTTGTCCAAATATTACGTAACGGTGCCCCAAATCTGTCTCCTGATAAATCAAACATGTTCTGAAATTTGATTAAAAAAATGAAATAAATTGGACAGATGCTAACTAATTCATATACATTTTTTTTCCAAATACCAACAATTTATTCGTTTTTTACTTTGCTGCCACAAAATATTTTCATCCAGAGAAACTTCGATGTAACAAAAAGAACAGTGAATGCAATAAGAATAATTGCCAGTAGGAAAGCCATAACATCTATTGAGTAGTACTGGATGGTGGACATCTTGTAGGACTCTGTCCTCAGATGTGC